ACTCCGCTTCGTCCACGGTGAAAGCCGATCCGGCGATCCACAGCACGAAGTTGATGTATTTCCTCAGCGACCAGCACGGATCAGCTCCAGGCATGACGAAGCGGATATCGTCCTTATTTGGAAGGCCAAACAAAGTAGTTTCGCTTTCACAACGAAAAACACAGTGCCTAGCGGCAGCAACAATACTACAGTGAGAATAAAAGTTACGCCTTCTTTCTTTGCGTGAACATTATGCAAATTATGCAAATCTTCCCACATCGTGACGTAGACATGTGGGGACGTGTTAGAACGAGCCGTTTTAGGTAGGCGTGGTTGACTCTTAACTTTTATAAAGAATATCTCTTTGGATTTGAGACTTTAGTCTTTGCAACTTTACAGATCTTCGTTATGCACCAAGAGCTTGTAACACTCCAAAGAGAAAGGAAAAATTGAAATCGCATCATATGACCCCTTTAAAAAATACTTTATGTATTTATTTTTTGTTGTTGAAATTGCTGTCAGACAAAATTGTTCAGATCATTGCATCCCTAATTACTACCCAAGGGAGCTTAGGCTAGACAGAACTTCTGGTTTCAAAAGTAGCTGGTTAATGTTTCAGTGAAAACTTAATACTGTGGGCCGTGAGATCGGTGCCCACTCAACACCTCCTCTGCCAAGGATCTAGTAGACCATCTGAGATATGCAGTGTCATTTTCCTGTAACAAGGCTCGTGTTCTTGCTCTGTGTGTTTCAGAAATGTGAGTTGAACATCGACAACCTGAGCAAACCAGAGCTCCTGACCCTTTTGAGTATCATGGAGGGAGAACTTGAGGCCAGAGACCTGGTCATTGAAGCTCTTAGGGTGAGTATGAAATCTCTGCACTTGTACGTCCTACATTTGTGCACATTAACTGTATAAAATAACAACATATCCTCATTATATTGAAGACTGTCGCGGTGGGTGCAGCATGTGCTCATGTGACCTAAAAGTGGTTAGGCACATGGGGATTTAGGGTCTGTCCCATTTTGTTAACCAGATCCTTGTCTATTTATACACTTTTTTTTATTTCACAGATACACTTCAAAAGTTTGGGGTCAGTAAGATTTGTTATTTAAAAAATGAATCATTATTCAGAAAGGATGCATTAAATTGATCAAAAGTGACGGTAACAACATTTATCTGTTAAAAAAAGATTTCTATTTTAAACAAATGCTCTTCTTCTGAGCTTTCTAGTCATCAAAGAATCCTGAAAAAATATATCATGGTTTCCACAAAAATATTAAGCAGCACAACTGTTTAAAACTTTAGAAATGATTAATGAGCACCAAATCAATAGAGAACGATTAGAATGATTTCTTAAGGATCATGTTACACTGAAGTTTGGAGTAAATTTGACCTTTTGCCATCACAGGAAAAGAATAAATAGAAAAAGGTTCTTTTGAATTGTAATAATATTTCACAATATTGCTGTTTTACTGTATTTCTGATCATATAAGTACAGCCTTGGTGAGCAAAAGAGACTTATTTCAAAAACATTTAAAACAATCTTACCGACCCCAACTTTCGTACATTAGTACAGAGGTGATGTTTGTTTTTGTCAATCCAAGCACACTTTAATGTCTTAAGGAGATAGAAAGTGTTTAGGGCTTAGCAGAAGAGCCGAGTCAAGGGGATTGTAAGGTCATGGTACAGCATTTGTCCCTATTTGTCTTTGCATTAAGGTCAGACGTTCACACAGGTGTAAGAGTCCTAGTACATCTGATTAAGATTAAAAAAGGATATACTTCCAAAATCAAGGTCAGGAGTGTCACTATATTTTCAGGTGTTCTAGTTCAGGTTGTCTCTGTGAGTTTCTAGGCCAGTGTATTAGCAAAACGATGGGCACATTTTCTGTCTCTCATCTCAGTCTCCCTTCCTGTCTCCTTTTTGCTTAGTTTATGCAGGTTTGTGATGTTCGCTTGTGTCATTCACCCTCTTCCGCTTTACTCTGAGATGGTTTCCATGCATTTTAGAGGCAGCTCTTTTTGTTATTCTGTTCCCTTGGCTGCAAGTATTTCCCAGCTGGTTTTCCCCCTGTGGATATACTATCTCTTTCTCTCCCTCCCTCATCCCTCATTCCCTTTCCACAGCAACCAGCTCAAGCACAATGGTCTCGTTTGTTTCCTTAGGGAGATAGTGATAGGGCCAAACACGTCCATACTGACTTTTAGACATACCACTTTAAAAAAAAAAAGCCAAATAATGCCATTTTGTTTATTTTCTAGGCCATACTGTAAATATTGCATTTGATACATGAGAGATGAAAGCAGCAATCCTATGCATTATTAAGAAGATATGCGTTTAATTAGCGAGTTTAAAAAAAGCTCTGTGTGATGTATCGTTTTTCGTCAGAAACAATGGTGGGACATAAACAGATTAACTGTGGAGTCACATGCCTACAAACCCTCGGACTTGCGTTCAGGGCCAGCCCTTTATATCCAGTCACATCAGTTCAGTTTTTGGGCCAGTGTCATCTTGCATTGTAAAGTTCATCACAAGATAATTGGAAGGTCTTTAGTGCAGACAGATCACTTTGAAATGGTAAACAGTCCCATATGGACATCTGGATACAGAATATAGATGCTCACAAGCCATTACGTTTCAAGTGTGCTTATTTCCATTCATAAAGCCAGAAGTGTCAAGTGGAGTAATGGCAGGTCTGTGTACAATGGCAGGACTACAGAGTAACTTTTCTGACACAATGTAGTTTATTAATTAATGTTCTCCTCATAAGTTTGTCATTATGTAATTCTTAATTTCCCCGCTTAAAAAAACAAAAAAACAGGCTAAAGCTAGTATGAATGTCCATGCTGGTTAAGGTGGGTTAGCGCTAATTTAGCCATAGCCATAATGTTCACTTTCCTGGTAGCTGATAAAGCTGGTGGTACTATCAGTATCTTTAACACTTAGCCTCATTTGTCGGATGATTAAATGTTGTTGGATTGTTGTTAGTATGTTGTTAATAGGTTCTTCACTGTTGCAAGAAACAGTATGTCACTGTTCCAAAACCTCTTGAGCTTTTTTTTTTTTTTGGTGAAATCCAGTCATTTCAATAGAAATCCACAAAACTTCGCATGAGGGCGAAATATGTAGCACATGAATATTGGGTAAAATAGTCCATCAAAATAAACTTTTTTATTGATACTTTTTGATACTATATGAATTATACGGTAGGTATTGTATTTTTTTACACTGGTCTTGCTTTTTCTGCCATCTTTTCACTGACCTTGTAGCAATGCATTGTGGGACTGCATTCTCTGAAAAGGATACATGTGATGCTGCATTAGAATTTGGCCAAAAAAATCTTGTGGGACGGTCTTCACATTGGGAACACACTGTTGAATGCCTTAAAATGCTGCCTATGTAGGCAGCTCTCTAGGTTTTGGAACAGAGCCTGTGAGTATCTCTAGGGCAAAAAGTTCACAAAAAATCTTGTGGGACGGTCTTCACATTGGGAACACACTGTTGAATGCCTTAAAATGCTGCCTATGTAGGCAGCTCTCTAGGTTTTGGAACAGAGCCTGTGAGTATCTCTAGGGCAAAAAGTTCACAGCTTCTCTTTTTTTTTTTTTTTTAGCTTCCATTGTGTGACCATGTTTTGTTTCACCAAAACATATAAGAGCTTTGGCAAAAACCTGACTTGGAATCATAGACAAACTGGACTGGAGTAGTGTAGGCTGTCTGTTTCAGCACTATTAATGTAATTGGCTGCTTTCTGCCTGTGATTAGATGGAGCCGTTTAGCTTCTGAACACACTTTCTGGCACTGCCACGTGAGCTAGTGTCAGGCCATCGTCGCTAAATGAAACTGGATACAGGTTCAGAGATAGCAGTTCAGTGCCCCTTTCTCTCCTTGCATGAGTGATTGTTTGTGACAGTGAACATGTTTAGCCTCTGATGTGAATGCATATTTACTGGAGCCGCTGCCTCAGTTCACGTTCACATGGTTATTACGGAGAGCGTCGTACATTTTGATACATTCTTTTTGTGTGGTAGATGGTAAGAGTTATTTCCCTGTGTGACTGATAAAAATAGTGCCCAAACACACTGTGTACAGGGGCCAAAATTAACACTCGCCAATCCCCAAATCAACGCTGCCCACTAACTTTACAGGGAACTGCAGCATACATGGCTTAAATTAAATTATATTTTGTATATACATGTTTAAAATAACATTTATATTTATATATTAGTTTTATATCACCAATAGCAAGTAATTTTGGACACTATCTTCTAGCTGTATGTGTAGGTATCGGAATATTTGTCTGAGTATCCATTAATATTTATTATATTTTTAAGGAATTATATGATATTTTGTACATACTTTATTTTATTTAAATTAGATTTTTATATCACTGTTAGTAGGTAATTATATATATATATTAGGGCTGTGCGATTTGGGGGAAAATATCAAATTGCGATTTTTTTGACAGATATTGCGATTGCGATTGCGATTTGATTTGCGATTTTAAATTTGCAAAGTCAAGCTTCAGCTCAATATTGCCAATAATGTGCAGTATCATTACCCTGTTGAAAAAAAAAAACAATAGAAACTATCACAGAAATTCTTATAGTTTCCATTAAACCATTACAAAATTCCTTTTTGTTTTGGGCATTATTCCAATAGGAATTACTGTTGTTCTATTGGTTGCCATCTTCCAGATTACATCCCAATAGAATCCATCAAATAGAAACCATTATAGTTTACATTAAAACCAAACAAATTGCCATTATAACCCTGAAATCCATTACATTTTTTATTGTGTTTTGGGAGGGGTTCTATTGTTTTTTTTTCAGCAGGCAAGATTATAATGGTATAAATAAAACTACTTTTACAGAATTAACTTAATTACTGACTTTTTTGTATTTAAAGACTTTTGAAAAAAAAAATCTAATGTAATTTGCATTTGTTCATTTTTCCACACAGTATTTTGTATTTGTATTTTAAATACATTTTCGTGTATTTATGCCCATCTCTGCATAAAGGGAAACCTTGTGACGTATGAAGTAGGGCTTGGCGGTATATCGAGTTTGTACGATATATCGATATTTTCTTTATAAGCGATTCGATATGAGGCGATGCCGTTTATATCGATATACAGTAGTTTGAAGCCATGGAAATATTTCCATTTTTCTGTCAGAAGTGCATGAGCCTTCTGCTTTGGGATTCTCTGCTAAACTTCACAGCGAGCGCCGCCGCACGCATGCGCGTCAAACAGACAGAGCTCAATTAAATAGGAGAGCAATAATTCTGACTAAAATATACATTTTGCTGAAATATTTGTAGT